ATCTTCCTCAGCCTACTCAAGCTCAACTGATGAGGGGTGAATTCCCCGAAACACTGTGTATTGAGCAGGGAGTGGTGCTTTCTTGCAGGTTTGCCGAGTCGAAGGTTCGATGGACTTCTCGTGTGCTCTGGATGGCAGTCGTGAGTCAGTCAAGTGTCAAGTAAAGTCGGCGGAATAGCGCGAGCTCCGGTGTGGGGAGCGAACCTTTCTTATGTACTCTTGATTATAATAAATCAAGAGTACATATAAAGCAGGGAGTCGTAAAATACCGGGGTATTTTACGACTCCCTGATATAAAGTAACAGTTACAAACAAGGCCGGTCTAGGAAGCTCGAGGTAGAGTGCTCAATGTACGAATGTACAGAGCAGTATACACACACAACAGAGGCGAAAGGCTGTGTTAGCTGTAAATTAAAGTTTCACGCATCGGAGCGATCATCGGACAGCAGCATTCACTATCTGACCATCAGCGCTGGCATGAAGACGGTAGATTTCCTGGATGTGACACTGGATTTGTCAACAGGGAAACACCAACCATACCGGAAGCCGAACAACAAGCCCGTCTATGTCCACCAACTTTCCAATCACCCACCGGCCATCATCCAACAATTGCCAAAGACGATCAGCAGACGACTAACAGACATATCAAATGACCGACACATATTTGAGGAATCGGCACCAGCGTACAACGGTGCCCTCAGAGAGAGTGGATACGTGGAACGAGTCGAGTACATGTAGAAGTTTATTTAACGTCGCACCACAAACAGGCGATTTCGCCTCCTTTGATACATGTGGACGACAGAAGGAATGAGAGAGAGGGGGGGGGGACAGAAGTATGGAGAGAGGAAGGGTAGAAATAAATAAGCAATCAACCTCAGGGCTACACCAAAGCAAAAACGGAATGGGAACATACTATATACAAAATAGCTTCATACATATATTGCAAAACACGTTTACTATTCTTCAGTCCGCTATACCACAGAAACACACTAGCCGAAGAGCATTTAAACGGAGCCATGATGCGCTTTTAGCAGGGCACAGAACTGAAGGTGGCTGGGCTCGGAACGGAGATCAGGCGGGAGCTGGTTCCACAGGACTGCGCCGATGAACTGCATGGTCGCTCGACCCGCAGGACCGGGCCAAAAATGGTACTCGAACGAGGTGATGTGCTGCTCCCCGAGTGCGGTCACCAGTAACTCTCACGAAGAAGCTGGTGAAGAGGGAGCTAGCTCGGGAGAACAGACAACGACGGACAAAGATGAGGAGCTTAATGTTAAACATGTCCTCCAGGGTGGTGAGGCGGAGCTGTTCAAAGATCGGGCTCGTGCGCGACCACGGTGGCAGACCGAAGAAGCCGCGGATAGCGCACTTCGTTAGACGTGTGAGGGGCTCCATATTGCCAATTTGAAGTGACGGATAAAAGGCGTTGGAGGCGTACGACAACCTACCCTGGATCATCGACCTGTAAAACAGGATCTTTGACGCCAGGGTGAGGCTTCGGCGGCTCCGCCACAGCGCACCTACTGACTTCCGCACCTGCTGGATTGTGTGATTGACGTGAGGCTCCCAGGAGAGCTGCCCATCTACCATTACGCCCAGGTACCGCGCTTGTTCCACAACTGCAAGGGCTGCATTCCCACAGCGAATTCGAATGTTATCTGTGTCAGGGGCTGGGCCTCTTGGGGTAATCAACAGAGCTTGCGTTTTCTTTTGGTTCAGCATTAGCCCGCGGTCCTCCAACCACTGCGACAGGCCAGTGATGGCTGTGCTTAGAGAAGAGCACACTTGTTCGCAACTGCCCGAGGCTTCAATTGCAATGTCGTCTGCAAATTCCTGGTTTGTGACCTGCTGGGGCAAGCAGCATCGAAGGTTACGGATGTATAGTGTGAACAGGAGGGGGCCGAGGACGGATCCTTGCGGCACCCCTCGACTGCATGCGACGTATTCCGAGCAATTTCCGCCCACGACTACGCGTTGAAGCCGCTCACTCAGGTAACTAGTGAACCATATCTGGACAGTACCGCCGACCCCAATGTCGGATAGCTCCTGTGCCAAGATGGTGTGTTTGACACAGTCGAAAGCCTTCGACATATCCACGAATATCACACCTGTGAGTTTGCGCTCATACTTCGCTTTCAGCCAGCGATTGACAGCTAGCACAAGAGCGTCCTCCGTACTGTGGTTCTTCCTGTACGCGAACTGCGAGTCAGGGAGAATACTGTGATCGGTCAGAAAGGATGTAAGCTGAGCTTTGACGATCTTCTCGAGGAGGCGAGAAACGACTGGTAGTAGAGAAATAGGTCGATAGGCAGTAGGCTACATGGAAGAGAGGAAGGAGGAGACAGGACGAAGAAAGAAAAATAGGCGGCGCAACATCACTTGGTACAACCCACCCTTTAGCAAGAATGTGGCCACAGACATCGCACACAAATTCCTCCGACTCCTCGACACACACTTCCCTCACGGCTGCCGATTGCGTCAGATATTTAACCGCAACACCGTCAAAGTTAGCTATTCATGTATGCCGAATATGTCCGCAATAGTCAAATCCCACAACCATGTTCAAAGGAAGAGACAAACACAGGACAAGAACGTCCCCGACAAACGATGCAACTGCCGAGACAACTTAGCATCTGCCCAATGGACGGCGACTGCCAAGTACGATGCATCGTGTACAAGGCAACAGTCCAGCACACCGGAAGAGAGCAGCGGCACGAGTACCTTGGCCTAACGGAACCACCCTTTAACCCTATAAGTATAACGCCTATAGGACGGATATATCCGCCAGACTGTACAGTGCATGATGAGGTGACTTCAAACTTTCGTCATTCAGTCAATCCTTGTTCGAATTCAACAAACGAAAGGTCTAATCGTATCAGAAAAGCCTCAGCTGTCGGCTCCAAAAAACCCGAAGACGATCCGAGGTCATGGCGCAGAGTTACGACACTCGAACGAAATTCGCGTGGGCGAGTCGGCTCGCGCGGCGTAAAATTTGAAACGCCAGCTAGCAAGGGATTTTCCCTGACTCGCTGGCGACGCGTGCACGACTGGCATACGTCATTTTCAAGCTGCATTTTGAAGCTCTCTCCTGCAAAAAAATTGACCGTTCTGCGATCGATATTGTTGAAATGGCTGAGAATTTAGTACCGCGCTCGCAGGTCTGGCATTGGAGCGCTCAGATCGCGCTGCGGCGTTACTCCTACGACTCTATCAATTGAGAACTGGGTATGGCTGTGTTCGTCTTGGAGAGAGCTTTCCATAGAGCCCGAGATTGTTGGAATACTCCAAAGGATATCGAAATTACAGTCAGATGAAAATGTGAGTTTGTGAATTTCATGCATCTCCTGAAATAATTTAGGCTCTAAAGGGTTAAACAGAGATACAACAATCACATGAGCACGACGAGGCATGAGAGGATGGAAAAAAGCACGGAGCTGTCCAAGTGCATATGGAAGCTCAAGCGGAAGATCACTCCGCACTCTGTCAAATGGGCCGTCGTCACCAAGGCCCAGGCCTACTCGAACGCGACCAAGCGGTGTCCCCTATGCCTGGCTGAGAAACTGGAGATCCTGGAAGAAGACAAAACGGTCAACATCAACAAAAGGTCGGAGTTGGTGTCGAAATGCAGACACGAGAACAAGTATTACCTGTCCAGATTCTCACCATCAGTTACATGAGTTTTTCAACATGGCGCAACCTGCACCAGGTTTGGCGCCATGGTGCTTTCTCTCTCCCTCTTCACTCCTGCTGTGGTCTTGCGCTACTGTCGCTATCGCCTTTGATGACTCGGTAACACTGCCCTGTTATCGCCTCTATTCTCACCTATATCTCTCACAAAACAACTCAATACCATTGTCCCAATGCCACGTCTTCACTTCGCACACATGCACTAACTTCCACACTAGCATCAAATACTAGTATCTAGGCCTGCTCGTAGAGAATTCGATAGTGAATGCTGCTGTCTGATGATCGCTCCGATGCGTGAAACTTTCAGTTACAGCTAACACAGCCTTTCGCCTCTGTTGTGTGTCTAAGTAACAGTTACATAATTATTATGTACCATGATATGCGTGTGATGCTTGCATGGTACATGTACAATATGTACATGTGTATTTGTGAACGTCATTGTACAGATCATGATAGTAAAAGAAGGTATACTTTTGATATAGCATGGACGGAACGGCGGTCAACCAAATGTCCCCCAGGCCAAGGCAAGGGGGTGGGGTGCTGCATACATGCACATGTATACTGTGACGCTGGCGATTGCGGTATGACGGATACTTCACAAAACACTTGTTACCCATGCAGAGGCTGCACACTTTGCTTTTCACAGAATAAATAGCCGCACCATGGCAAAAGGGTGCTTACGGCAAAAATTGGTCTAATGCACTTAGTCTTTTGGTAGACTCCCAGATCCTGGGTACAAGGTTATAGCCAGAACAAACGTGAAAGGGGGGAGAAATCATGGAGATCATCGGACGCATATTTTGTGATTTTCCGTCATTTTGGCCACTACTTTCACCCATACCAGTAAGCAACTGACCAACTATTACTTCCATTCCCTGTATTTATTCACTAATTCAGCGGCCACTGGAACTCGCCATGAGCACGGTTTTCAGAGTTACATGGTTGTATGTAAGTGATGAATAAGATGCGATGGCTCACACAACCGTGCTGCGCTGCACTGCTACATCAGTATTATGTACATGATGCGTACTCATCATGCATACCAAAAGGTGGCGCTCGCACTCTGAAAGGTGGCGCGTTCATTTTGTTCGTTTGTTTGTAAGTGCTTATTTTACTTCGCACATAAAACGGGAACTAGGCCCAATAACAAAAAGCCGGATATTGGAAGGGGGGGGGGGGAGTGAAGGAGGGCGCAGCGCCCCTCTATGTCGCTTTGGCGAGAACCCTGACAACTCTCACTTATCACTTTGAACTGATTCACCTTTTGGTTCTCACAATGTGACATTGATGGTATATAATTACACTGTACTATGAACACTGTGTAGTGTGTACTACTGAGAATGACATCAACACAGTCCTGCATAGTAGGGTGGTTTAAAATAAATGATCAAATCAGTACTGCAAGACCGATGGCAATCCATAGACGCCATTCCTGTACAAGTGCCATGCACACACACACAGTATTGCAGGCAAGGGTCATTGACATCTGCAGGTAACACCGGCGTGGCCTGGCTGCTAATTGCAAATCGCGATCCACGAGCCAAAACGCGGCCTAAAACAAACGGCTAGATAACAAGCTTTTCAACAATGCAATAACAAGGTCAACAAAATTACTCGTCCTCAAGTCATGTTTCATCATTGGATGCCTTCTCAGATGGGGGAAATTATTCCACTAGTAGGCATGGCACTGTTTTGCCTCATCTTCACGGGGCTTGGTCTCAGAAGTTGAATGTTCCCCCTCCACCGCCAGTGAAGGTCATTGCTTGCCGGAGAGGGTGACGCTGGTCAGCGAATGGCTCCTTAGCCAGTTCTCGGCCTAGCTTATCGCGGTAGCGCTGTTCTTGCCGCTGTAACAAAGTGGCGAACGGGTAAATAATCTTGGATGAGACAATACACATGTGCCACCAGGAATATCGTGAAAGAGGATCGTCTTAGAAACTATGGTTGATTCCAGGTGGAGATAGGCTGTGGGATATTTATCATCATATTTAGCCAGTTCAATAATATCACGTCTAACTTCTCTGCCAAGCAAAGACCCATTCTGTACTTTGTGTACATGTACTGACAGTCACACTTGCCCATGCATGACTCTCATGAAATGCCCGTACTAAATAGTCTATAGAACAAGAATATTTGATATCATACTTCTCTCATCAACTATGATAATACCCATTTCATACCCCCTCCCCTTCATAAAATTAATAACTACTGTTTTCTTTCCTTTCATTTCATCTTCTTTTCCGTTCCTTTCTTCTTCATACACATTTTAAACATGTTCATCATATTGTGAGAGCCGTGGGCCAATAGCCCCGGTGAGAAGGCAGTCTTGCCTGTTCATATGGTGAAGTAAAATAAAGAAACAACAACACCAGACATGCACTGTGTCGATCACCTGCAGTTGCGGCTGTGATCCCTACATCACACGATGCACTCCTGTCTTCATCTAGAATGCTCTATTGTCCACTCGAGTTAGCAGCTAGCTGTGTAAAGATTATTCAGGCACTGCGGCATGTGCAGCATGCAGTAGCACATTCATACCTTGACTTCGTCCAGCTCCAGTTTCGTCATGTGTTCTTCCTCCTCCTTCAGAGCAGTTTGATAGTCTAGTTGATCCAGCAAATCTGACTGATGCTTCTTGCGGACCTGAAAACGGAGAGAAGCAAGTGCAGGACATGCAAACCAAACACTTACCCCCATACTGCCACAACAACGACGACGACGACGACGACGACGACGACGACGACGACGACGACGACGACAACAACAACAACAACAACAACAACAACAACAACAACAACAACAACAACAACAACAACTGCCCTGTACGTGGACCACAACGAGTTTATCTCTGGGAGGATGGGGCGGGAGATTCGGCAATCCACTGCAAACACACATCCCTGTTGGCCTTTTCAGCACAACCAATAGACATGCACAGATTTAAAGGGGAAGTTAAGGCAAAAATTAAAATTTCACCAGTTGTAGTCTTCGGGGTGCTGAGTCGAATGGTCTTGGTCCGAGAAAGCTGAGACGCTCCCTTCCTACTTAAATCCCAATCGAACTCGCGCACTTCCACCGAAACTGGGTGACTGCGCCCTACGAGATGGGGATTTGTATGCAAAATGTCACTTAAAGCGCCATTTCGTTCTTATAAAAGCACGGATGACCGCGATTGGCCCATATGTTGTAGTCTTTTGGACGCTGAGTCGACTGGTTTTGGTCCGAAAAGGCTGCGATGCAGCGTTCGCCCCTAATTCCCAATCGAACATGGTTGAACAAGCGGTCACGTGCTCCTGCGTACACCAGTCACCTGGTCACCGTGCCTGCAGGGTACAACTTACAGCCTGTTTTGACCTTTTTTGGGTGCAGTCCTGTCACTCGAGTTGAACCTTGGTGTGAAAGTTGTCGCCTGCTGGCGTGGTGACCAGGTGATTTTGGCACCCAGGAGCACGTGACCGCTTCTTCAACCATGTTCGATTGGGAATAAAGGAGGAACGCTGCATCGCAGCCTTTTCGGACCAAAACCAGTCGACTCAGCGTCCAAAAGACTACAACATATGGGCCAATCGCGGTCATCCGTGCTTTTATAAGAACGAAATGGCGCTTTTAGTGACATTTTGCATACAAATCCCCATCTCGTAGGGCGCAGTCACCCAGTTTCGGTGGAAGTGCGCGAGTTCGATTGGGATTCAAGTAGGAAGGGAGCGTCTCAGCTTTCTCGGACCAAGACCATTCGACTCAGCACCCCGAAGACTACAACTGGTGAAATTTTAATTTTTGCCTTAACTTCCCCTTTAACGGTGGGCTTGAGACTCAGTTCGACTGAGTTTCCAGCATCCGCAGGAACGCCATCACCGGCCTGCAAAGATCTAAGCTGCAGATGCAGCTCCTAAAATGGTGGGAGGTGAGTAGATCAGCCCACCTACACAGTGGTCAAAGACCGAAAATCCCAACCGCTGCATCCATGTAATACTGCAAAACCAGAAAGGTTAACGACCAACAAGTTTAACGTTTTGGTAATTTTGGCATGATAACGTGCAGAAAGTTTAACGATGGCTGCCTGGCCGGTCACCCGGTACCCATCTGTTTGCACAGACATCTGCCCATAACGTTTCTTCAAATAACGAAAAAAATGGTCGTTAAAACGTTAGACTTTGTGACTCGTTAGACTTTCCGGTTTTACAGTATGGCGAGAAGCAGCCCAAAGTCCATTGCGCATACGCCACTTGTCAAACTGCCCAGCCTATGCCAATCCGGCATGTAGCCAATCCATTGAACAATTCTCTAAGCATCTGTCTGACAAAAAAAGGCACCCATACTCCGAACACGCACCCGTTTGCGTCTCTCCTCGTCTTCTTTCTCCATGCGAACATGCTCCTGGAAGATGTCGTTCAAACGCTGGCGCTCCACCGCCGCCTCTTCTTGCTCCTTTCTGTTGATCTCCACTGCCAGAAAATAAATAAACAGAAACAAAACAAAAGACCGGATGACAGGTATGCCCCAATAGAAACATTTTCATTGCACAAACACAACACAAACACAACACAGGTTGTTAGGTTCTGCCGTCCTTTCTAGCTGGTTTTAGATGCCTTGTTGTCATCTCAGAAGGGCCGTGAGATATGTATGTAAGTGTAATTGTTATTTCTATCTCAGAAGGGACGTGATGTATCATGCTAGCTACTCATGTATTGTGCGCATGTACTTCAAGTTGATATCACCCGTATAACGCGTATTGTTACGTTGCATGCCTTGCATCACGTGATTACGTCACATCTCTATTGGGCGCATGCACGCATCCATATTCTGGATTCATGCTGTTCTTCTCCTTGCTCTTCTTCCTGACTTGAGAATGTAAATAAATTGGTTTCTACATCTTATCACCAAACTAGTTCCTGTTGTCTAGTGGTGTGTATAAGAACAAAATACAGGTATGGCCCCTCTCTTGCTTACAATCGGCCAGCAGCCACCATGATTGTCTTATACAGAGACTTATTCTGTAACATGACTGATAAAAGAATCAATCGAAAAAAACACAGCATGGGGAAACTTACATTTCTCAGCAATTTGCTGCTGTCTTGTCTCCATGACCTCCCGCAGCAATCGTGCACGAGCTGCTTGCTCTTCACGCCATTTGTTCACAACCTTCCGGAAGTCTTTGTCAAGCTGTGCAGGATTGGGTCAAGACAGCAATACAGATATTAGGGTTATGCCATCGTGCTCAGACTTGGTCAATATCCCCACACAGTGAGATGTATTCGAGCTGCACAGAATCAAGTGTTCGGGGCAAAACTGTTATCATCCACTCACATATAGAACAGCCAGCTACAGTGAAACTGCGACTGTGCCCATCATGCCCAAGTCAGTGTCAAATCCAAGCTTCTGTTCAAAGCACAAAATCATGCAATTCTGTTGGACAATGGTATGTGTATATGCCGGTGCTCTCTTCGCATTTCGACTCCTACTAAAGCAATGCTTTCCACTGCGACCAGAATTTCTGAAGTGTGGCAGACCCAATCAGTTCTACTGTGTTTGCACCGGACAGGGGTTTATGACTATGTACGTGATGTGCACGTACCTCTACTTGCAGCATCCGGTCTAGCTCCTTCTCTCTCTGCTTCTCCCGTTCAGCCTCCTCCTTCAGGTAGGTCATGTACTGCATCATCTCCGAGTGCAGACGTTTCTGTTGCATGAATACAAGAGCAGAAAACATAGGGAACAGTTGGAACCTAAGAAGAACACATACTAAAGCTTAGTTGTAACTAATTGTACATGACGGCATTTCTCTGACGTGTTGCTCCTCACTGGGTAGTACCACAGACAACTGTGGTATAATAAATCCTGATCCAAAGCCAATCAAGTTGAGGCAGTTTTCTATCCGCTCCTCATCCACATCATACAGTAAAGGTGCCCACGTTACTGGAATGTCTTTGACCATGTTGAGGATGTGGGTAAATTCTTCACGTCAATAGATGGCCGGTGTGGGCCAATATACATACTGGTGTTTTCGAACTGCACGTTTGGTAAGCACCCCCCCCCCCCCGCCCCTTCGGATGCAGAGGCGTGCAAACCGTTTGATTTAGAGAGTGAGTGGAATGCATTTTGCCAATGTGGGATTGCATGCAACTGCAAACAGGAATGTAGTGCAGCAAGGCTGTCGCATGCACTGCATTCGCATCTCTGAAGTTATGTAAAGGACCGAGCATGCTCACCTTGGTCCTCACGGCTTCTTCGGCTTCATTGGATGTCTCCATCAGTATCTGCTGCAGAAGTTTGATATCCAGTGCCAGCTCTTCTTGCACTTCTTTTGCCTAGCATGCCACAACACATAGATCAGATAGATGTCGGAGGTATGGAGTTAGCATGTCATGCTGACAGAGAGAGAGTCTTGTCACAGCTATTACTACAGTGCGTGGAGCAGGGGCATATCCAGTTCCAGTTTAGCCAAAACTGAATGAATAGCTGAATGAATAGCTGAATGAATAGCTGAATGAATAGCTGATACACGTACAGGTATACACATACGGTTTACAGTAGTACATTTGCGAAATTTAGGAGGTTGTGCCCGGAACCCCTGGAACCCCTCCCCCCCCCTCCCCCGGATCCGCCCCCGTCAGTGGCACGGTCTACTGCCACTGCTCAGACTGCATGTTGGAAGCCCTTCACTGAGTGCACTGCCACACAGTAGCCCACACGTATGCGGCACATACACACACACACACACACACACACACACACACACACATACACACAGTGACACACACACACACACACACACACACACACACACACACACACGGGTGGCAAAACGGCACATGAACATACATCGAGCCTGGAAATTGCTACAGTAGAAAAAGCACCAACACATCCTAGACCAAAAGCGGTGGTTTTTGTACGTTGTACCTGCTAGTGATTCAATTGATAAGGCATTCTATGCTACATATCAATTTGACTCGGGTGGAGAGCCAAGGAATATTTTATAAGAAGAAAAGAGGACCAAAGAGCTACAAGTTACGCTATAATATCCACTAACACCACCAGTTACTTTATAATCCCCTCATGCGGTAACATTGCATGGCACTGACCAACGGTACTGACGTTCTACACCTTCTCATGAACATATCAATTTCAGTGCACGCCAGAAGAATATTTTATGATTCATTCAACACGGCATATCTCTGACTTGTTGTTCCTCTTTGGGCTATAAGTTACCAATTCATTCACTGACAAAGATCCGATGCCTAGTCGCACACCGCTTACCTGTAGCTTCATCTTCTGTTTTATACCGCGGGTCAGATCGCGGGCTCTCTCCTTCTGAAGACGCAGCTTATCCCGTCTGCGGTGCTCCTCCTCCATCTTGCGCAGGGCAATCTGTTCCTCCTGTGCACAGCAATCAGTGGGCGAGAGCATATAGCACAATGCCAACAAACTTGCCAACGTGTTCCATGGCAACTTGAGTCTTCTACTGGGGATCTCTTCCAAATGATTGTGATAGTGTGTTGGCCATGAAGAGTGTTAGGATGCATAATGCCAGTTTCACTTTGCGAGTGACGACTTTCTCCATGCATTGACAAAAAAAACAGGTAAGAGGATCCAGGCAAGAATTGGTGTGAAAGCTGACTTCCTACTCTCATTGAGCTTGTTCTCGGTGGAGTTGCCATTACTCGGCCAACGTGCTCACAGCAGAAATTCCTGTACGTAATAATTATGCCCCCTGTTTCCATAATAATCCAGTTTTGTCTTACCACAAACTTCTTCTCCTGCTCCTTCAGCTCCACTTCTTGCCGTTGTTTCTCCTCAAGGGCAGCCTTTTGGAGGTTGAGAGTCTGCAAACAAGACAACAGCCGGAAGATCAGTGTTAGAGCGGTCTAGTACAGCTATGTGTACATTCAGTATACTAGTACATTCCAACTGATTACTGGGACCAGCAAGGCAGTCACAGCCAGGGCAGCCGCATCATAATCATCACGACAAAGTGCAAGCTATGATCGCAGCTCAGCGCAAACATAACGATCTACTACTTTCATGACTTGCAGTTTGAAGACTACTTGTCCTAGTAGTGTGTTCTTGGTTTGCTGCAGGATCTAATAGTCTGGTGGGCTTTGCTGAGCAACAATGCTTTGCAATGTCCGACTGTGGCAAGTCTCTGCAATGCCAGGGAGTAGGACAGTATCGCGAGGCCAGCAAGGCTCGCACCTTCCAGACCCCAGACAATAACTATTGCAGATTCCTGAAAAATCACTTCAGCCGGGCTACAGGCACTTTACAAGACTCATCTCGTCATCGGCGAGAGAGAGTTTGGAACACCGTAGACGAAGTCAGCTCGGGACCATATGTTCTGCATGGCTGCATCAATTGTAGCAGTGAGATCGTACCCGCAGAACACCGTGGACTAGGCATCGGGTTGCAACGACACTGTCATAACAAGAAAAGCATCGTCAAGAAGGAATTTCGTTAAAAAGCAGGAAGCGCAAGCTTCAGCGGTAGGAGTCAATTTGGCGGCTCGCCTGGCATCTACCCAGCCTCTGCTATGGCTTCAGATACTCCAGGTACTCCAGGTACCCCACGGGTAGCACAGTGGCCATGAATACAGCAGCCTATCACCAGTGGAGTGGCCACACCGCGGCAACACCAAACCAACAACATCCAGGTGGAATGTTGCCCGCTAGCAACCTAACACCGTCGATACAACTTCTTCAAGCGTGTCTTGTCAGTAAAAATTGCCAGTACCTCGGTCATAAGCGCTGGTGGAAGCAAGACATGGCGATGTCATATCGATTGAATGATGACGTAATTGCATAGCCTCCACTACATGTACATGATAGGCTACAGCCCTGAGCACATGCATTGCATTAGACATGTACCAGGAATTTGGTCGTAAACGTGTACTGACTGGCCTCTCCTCAACGTCCCCCGTGAAGTGCGCCTGTGGAGTTCTGTTCTCCACTGCTCATGCCATGTGTCGCCCCCGGGGTGGCTTCCCTACAATCCGCCAGTACGAAGTCCGCAACATGGTAGGGCAGCTACTCACGGAGGTATGCCACGCAGTAGCAATCGAGCCCTGGCTAGCCCCACTCTTTGGAGAGGTGTTTGCTGCTGCATCGGCAAACACCAGAGCCGAGGTCCGTGCCCGTGGCTTCTGGACCCGAGCACAGGGTGCTTTCTTTGACTTCCGCATCTTCCATCCTGATGCGGCGTCCTACTCGGCCCAACCACTGGATGCCCTACTGCTTCAGCACGAGCACCAGAAGAAGCTAGAGTAAGTGGAACGGATCCTCAACGTGGATCCTGGCACATTCAGCCCGCTGGCATTCTTAACTTCTGGTGTTGCCTCCCCTGAATGCGAAAGGTTCTTGGAGCGCCTCTGTGGCTTGCTATTTTCCACACCTGTGTGTTATTATCTTTTATCATTAAAAAAAGAGGTACATGTACATGTATGTGTGTGATATTGTTGTGGACATTGAAATCCGTTGAGAAGTCAAGCGGCGGCCACGCGGCGCTGGCCTTGCAGCCGTGAGCACTGCCGGTCCATTTTTACAGTGTGTACGTGAACTATAGTGCATGTACGCGCTTAAAGCAGTAAGAGCGCCGGCGCCGGTCATCCCATCGGATTTCAATGTTCACAACAGTAGATTGCGATACGAGCCTCACCTTGATCTGCTCCACGTTCCTCTCCTGAGCAGCTGCACATTCGGCCTCTTCTCGCAGCGCCTTGAGGCGATGGTCCGCTGCCCACTGATTGGCAAACATTCTCTCCTCTACATGCATAAGAAGTGGCAACGGGTAGAAAGCAGAGCATGGATGCACGCACAACTTGAAGTGCAAGACGACATACGCCCACATCCCGGCTCTGATTTCTTGAACATTCTGTTACGCAAGACTCCCATTTTGAAATGCACTGTCACGGATGCTATATGTCCAGCCTCCAAACAAGCTTTAAGCTCTGCCTGCGGTAATCTACAACGTTACGTGACCCATTCGCTTGCATTGAGGAGGAGAAGGACGCGTGTCTCACCTTCGTGCTCTTGTTCCCGGATGAACTCCTTCTCTCGTAGCTGAGCGTCTCGCTCACGACACACCATGTCGGTGTTGCGCTTGGACATTGTGGAGCGCAGTTCCTCGCACTCCAGCCTGAACAAACACCAACAATATGTATACATGTACATCGCTATGTGTCCGGCCTCAACCTTGTAAACCACACACTAAAGCTCCTCTCACCAAGCAGGATTATTATCAGCCTTTTCGCGTTGACATCACCAAGCGAGCTTGGCTAGTTTTCGCTTAGGCCAAATGGAAGGAAGAATGGGGGACGAGCGGGGTCAATGAGGTGCTTATACGCATGCAACTGCAGAAAGGCTATGATCATTCTCGGAAAAATGTAAAACCGGAAAATTTCGGTGGAGATATATTTTCGGCAACTTCAGTACAGATAATTTTTACCTAAAATAAAATGCGACCTAACATTCAACCATGCCATGCCACATAGTGTGCAAAATGCATTTTTGGATCTGGAAAACTGGTTTACCGAAATTTTCGCGCTGCTGAGCCGTTAATTTTAGGATATGCCAAAAGTATTACAGCACAGGACATTCCCCGTTATACAGTATGTAATTGTGTTGCTGCGGTTGTCAACGGCAACATCTCACACGATCTCTTACCGCCATCGCTGGTCCATCTTCTCTTGAGCAAGCGCCTGGCGCTCTTTTTCACGCTTCTCCCTCAGCATGGTGGCTCGCTCCCGCATCTTAGCCTGCCGCTCCACGGTTGTTTCCTGACGTGATTCAAGCTCCACCAGCTGTTGTTGCTCCTCCTCAGCAAGCAGTTTCCTCAACCTGCATTGTAGTGTGTGGGAAATGCAAACCTGGTTAACGTCCAACATTCTCATGTCATTCTGGGCGAGAAGCTTTCAATAGCGAGTGTATCTGTGGACACTGTTCCAATGATTTGGAGGCAACCACGCTCATCATTACAGTGTTAAGAATGACTCAAGCAAAGGAGCCGGCAGGGATGGCAATTTGCTATCGATGTGTGTGTTTGACTGTTTGTGTGCGTGTGTGTGTGTGTGTGTGTGTGTGTGTGTGTTTTCGAGTGTGCACCATGCTACAGTCGTTAAAAGATGGTTTGATACTTTCCGCAGACTTGGTTTCCGACTGCTTCAATCTGCACTCTTACTTTTCTCGCCGGCGTTCCAAGTGGAATTGATCGTGTTGAAGAATTCCTTCCACTCGTCTATTGATGGTAGACTGTTTGATGCGCTTGTCCGTGACAACTTCCCATTCATTCTGTCCGCAAGAAGTTTAACCGGATGCACATGCAAATACACACATACACGCATGCACACACTCACACATAACTCTCACATACACACATACAAACACATACACACACATGCCCGCACACACGCTGCGACGCACACACACGCGCACACATTTACAAACCAAAGCACACATCCCGTGGAATGGACCGTATGCGTGTAAAAACAAAATGGTGTCACGATCTATTGAAAGATGCATATCAGGTAGTTGTGTTTTTGAATCACCCACTTCGCATTTGACAGCATGGCTTTGAAATGCTCGTGTCAACGGAGTACTCATAGCCGAAGCTGGAAGGGGAGAGGGGATTTTTTTCATTGACTAGTTCACCTAGCATGCAAAAATGGCTTGCTGTCAGGTTGAAAGATAAGTGTGCCTTTCTGCAGGCTTTTGCTGCTGCCGATTGCTGTCGCGATATCTTCTGTACAGTCTGACAGGTACCTGGACTGGAAGGAGCGGCCAGTGCCCACAACGTGGAGCAGCTGGACTACGTTTCCAACGTAGTGTTATACCATTAGTCAAACATCGGAGCTGAATTGCTCAAGGTGCTCTCCTAATTTAGTCACAACTTCAGGACGTTCTCTGTGGATTTCGATGCATACCCAAAACTGTGCTGCAACCATGTCACCAACATCACTCTGTTGATATGTCATGACCGACAATTATGTGATTAGAATATGCTGGATGGCATGAAGGAAGTGGTAAATTTTCTCGTTGCATGCTCTTTGTCTATTACTGAAGTCGAAGCACGCACTATGTTGCTCATCTACTATGTTTGTTCTCCCAGCATCACCTGATGCTCAAGCTGCCGTGCTGCTTAACACTGACCGAGGTTCGCTTCACTCTACGTTTGTTTGATTACCCCTATGACTGGTTGGTGACAACAGCAGACCTTAAACAGCTGCCTCATGGCATAAGCATACTCTCCAGAACGCCAGTATGGTTGCCAATACCATAAACGCGAACAACTACCACCCATCGTACAGCCAGATACATATACTTGGTCTTGACCACTGCTACATAGCATCCCAGCAACCATCCTCTGCTACCTTAGGAGCTCCCCCGTGTGCACAGCCTCGTGTCCAGTTTCTATTGACCCAGCTGTTGCTGTTGCCTGCGCCGCATTTATCGCGGGATGACTTTCTACCATCACTGAACCAAGGTGACGGTGATGCATGTGTCACGAGTCTACCCATACCATGGGGTGAGGTAATTGAGATAGCTCATGTGGCCCCTGTACTCCATGTCAATTGGCCACTTTGAGGCATAAAGGGATATGTGTGTCTCACGGGGGTGCTCGGCATCTTGAACGCGCAGCACTGTCCCAGGCCAGAGAATAGTTGTGGTTCTCACTGAGGCCCGACTAAACGAATAACTGTCAGCAATTTTGGTTCAGTAGTTAGGCGCCATGCATCCACGGCGCCTTTAAACCTAGTTCATAGTATCACTAGTGTCACCAGGGTGGAAACTGACGCAATGAGATGGGGTATAGGGAATGAGGACATGGCAGCATACGAATACGCTAACACTTGCGAGGTAGGCATAAAATGCGCGGATTTGTGATTGATCCGCAAACATGCTGGCTGGGTGCCACACCTGACCGGTTTCTAACAGATCCCATGCTGAAACTGAAATCCTGATCATGAGCCTTGTGGAAAGAAAGTGCCCATATGTAGCTCGTGATTGCTCCTTGGCCGATTACGCTGCCAATAAAGAACTCTGCTGCTTGGAAAAAGTGGGTACATCATATCAGCTGAAGTGAACGCCACTCGATACTCAATATTGGCAGGCTCCTTTGAGCTACCCCCGTAAACCAACAGCGCTCACAACAAACAAAAACAAATGATTAGGCAAAAATGCCATGCCAAAAGGAAGGTTATACTTTGATTCATGTAGTATGAACTATGAGGTTCAAATGATTTTGTGAGCTCGTATCGCAAACTATACAGTGTACCACTTTCAATTAATCGTAACCTCATTTTTTGTTTTTACACTCAGATTGCGGATTGTGGGCGTGAGGTTAGCGCGATGGAATGCAGGCTCTCCAGCGAAGATAAGGCTGGCTAGAAAAGCTAAAAACCTAGTTCCCTGTAGGCAAATGCCTATATGCAGGCAATTAAGAGCAAGCGGTTTACCACCTCGTATTTACTTTACGAAAATTTAAGAAGTGGAAAGAAAGCACTTTGTCAGTGGTCATCAATTGAAATATTCCCGATGGCAGTGGCTATGTGCTGTCCATCGTCGGTGTGAAAATAGGAAGCGTGGAGGTTGGAAGTGCCCAACATACGGAAGCGACTCATACTGGGGTAGACGTTGCGACGTACCAATGCGCCGCAACCGTCAAAAATCGTCAACCAAAAACAACTCCTTGGGACGGATAGCTTATCTTGGAGAGTGCAAGCAAGAGTACATAACCCCCCAGAGTGTGCAACGCCTGATCCAGCTCTGCATAGGGTCTTGGTCGAGCGGAATCGGATCTTTGCGTCATAATACCGTACACATCTGAGGGGAACCCGGGGAGTCGCGGGTACTCTTGGATCAAAAACAATGGTGCCCTGCCTCGAGACCGGCCTTGCGCTGGTGTGAAGTGTACGCATGACATCAGAAGATCCGATTCCGCTCGACCAAGACCCTACACAGAGCTGGATCGGCGTTGCACACTCTGGGGGGTTATGTACTCTTGGTGCAAGCAATGCCTCAAGCAGCGATCCCAGATACACTGGAGGGTTTAAGACATAGATGTGGTGCAGACTGGCAAGACAAATTCGTCAGTCTGAGACGGAAGATTGCCTCTTCAGATACATTATACATGTACATGTACTGTGCAAAAAGGGGGGTCTGTAAAACTACCCCGCCCTGCTGACCCCTTGGGTGCATCCCTGATTGCCGGTACAGTGGCGCTTTCTATATTGAAAGGGGTGGTAAAATCTTGAACCAAGCGGGGTGCAACGCCATGCTATGTTTCTTTGCCTACGACCCCAACTAGGTTTGAACACACGCCATACAACGCTAATCTGAGCAGAAGCCTTGCCTTCGCACCAGCTTCTAGAAGAATACAATACACCAGGCTTTTACTCAGGACATCATGGTACCAGCAAGGAATTGTCCAAGCAGAATTCAAACACTAGCAAGTCAAAGGGCAAGAACAAACCTTGAAAACCAGCTTTTGTGCTTCCTTCTGCTCAGCTTCGACCTGTCGACTGAGTTCATCCTTCTTGCGGTTCTCAAGTATGAGAGATTCCACAGGCTTCTTCAGTGTTGCTCTGGCCAGCTGTGCACAAACAGAAGACGTCAAAGCATGGTGGCCGAGAATGCGAGACAGGGGCACGCAACTTAACAACTTGGCTAGGGTGCTGATTGCCGGTAGCTAAGCAGCCAGGCAGTGTTGACTCTGGCCACATGCACGTGGACATCATGTGTTCTGTGACTGAGTACCGCCGAGCGCTGCAGCTCAACATGACACCGTACTACTCTGCATGCTGTTCCCTAGCCATCGCAAAGCTACACCACAGAAAGCTGGGGACTTCTCACACTTTCCACCAGTATAATGTGCTACAGCTTCAAGTTCTTTTTCACCCACGGGCCGTGGGTGTTGGGGTAACTGTTACCCCAAGGCATTTAGGCACTTCAAGCCGGATCTTTCCAGAGTTCCTTGACTTTAGCTACACCATGTTGTGTCATGCACATTTAAGGCAGACCAACTCTGGACAGAACAGTACTGATTGGATTACTTTAGTTGGAGCGCAGTGGGTTATCCAGTGACCTGGCAGTGGTGATGCGTGAACTCAGGTGCGATGCCCGCCGTGCTAGGAACAGCAATGCTAGTGCGTGCCGGCTTGATAGATGGTGCGAGCTCTATCAGCGGCCGCCGCCGCCCTGGAATCCGCACAAGGCAGGGGAAGTGGGTACCCATATCACCAAAGCACCTAGCTAGGAGTTGTGAGCCCAAAAACATGTAGTTCAACAGTTCGCCCAAAGGGCATTAGCCACACACCTAACACCGAGGCCAATCCTCGCGTAAATCCATCGTACATGAAGCAATGTTGCCATGTGGTGTGTAAGCCGGCCAGCCCCTGTACTTGTGGTGTGAAAGACACTTCGCCTTGTAACCTACACAGATTCACCAGTGCGCCATACATAATGCTATGTGGTGGTGAGATATGTGGTGGTGAGATATGTGACGGTGAGATTTGAGTGACAGGAAGGGATTGGCGAAGAGTGACGAAGACACGTACACACCACCTGGAATTCTACATCAGTGTTCTACATCAGTGTTCTACATCAGTGTGCGCTGTGCACCCAGGACGTAAATATACATTCTTGGTGGGCATAGAAATATAAGATATTAGCGGTGAAAGGGATGCTACTCTTTTCTAATGACCGCCTTGATAGCGTATCATGCTAGGTTCTCCGTAACACTATGACATGTACTTATACCAGCATATGTGCTCCTTCCGGTCATTGTATTGAAGTTTTTCAGCTGCATGTAGCTTTGTAAGGGGTGTTTGTGCAGGGTACATTCTCTCTTTTCCCGTTTTCGTTCATGCACTATTCAACCTGGATCTTCCTAAATATACTGTGAGATAGTGGTATTGACTTGACTTGATATTCTTGAGTACTTGCACTACAATCACGCAGAAAATGTAGCTGATCAAAGCAGTCAAGCAACTCCACTTACGATTCCCACCGCGTTGGGTGTGTGCCCGGGTATCTCCCGGGTTCTCCGCCTTCGTTGCAGCTCCATTGGCGCTTCGATAGCTCGATATTTTAGGTTTCTGCTTTGGACAATTACTATACTACTCGGCCGCGTTGCAGCAGTGTCGATCGATGGCGGAGCCGCTCTAAGCCCAGAATGGTCAGATATCTATAAAAGTCTGTCATTAGGAAGAGAGTGAAGTGAGGTGTCGATGTTCTGGTTACCGAAAGCCTATCAGTCTTGACTTGAGTTCAGATATCAGCTGCACTGTATTATTCACTGGACAAGACACGGCGAGTCCACGGCTAGCGACGAGCCACCGCGAAACAAACTAAGTTACGTTGGAGGCAGCGATCCACACTACACCTACTGGGCAAGCACAGCGATAGCAGGTGAGTACTCTTCCCGACTTTGTCGCAATGCCCGTTACTGCCGCTCTAGCTCTCTGTTCAGAACTTTACTCCAATGTTCTCTGATCTGAATGTCTGAATGCAAGCGTAATGCGAACCAAGTCAAAATAATTATCGTGATTCTGCGCTTGAAGTTGATCGAACAGCCCACGCTTCGGCTGTCGAATCAGCTGCTTCGTCCAGCGTCTTCTCGACTCGATCGAAGAGTCGAACTCGGGCAAAGAAGTAGTTCAGGCTTTCAGGCGGGTGCCATAGAAACGCCACGGCTGAGTTGCTATGGAGTCTGTATCGAAAAAGCCCGTGTACTACCGGCGGTAGGCGGTACAGTGGTCCCTCTATAATCCGGCACCATTTGTGCCACGAAAATCTGCTGGATTACGGAGGGTGCTGGATTAACAAATCTGATTTACTGCTGCAATGTACATGAAGAGGAGATTTTGGCTACTGAAAATTGTGCTGGTTTATCGAGGGTGCTGGATTATAAAGTGCCGGATTAGAGAGGGACGACTGTAATACGAATAGTAATACTGCAATACTAATACTGTAATACTAATACTGTAATAGTAATACTAATACTAGACTGTTTACAATGATTATGTCTGTGCATTACATGACTGTATGGCATTAGTTCCCTGTTAACACATTGCAGAATGACTTATTATTATTATTATGTACCGGTACGTAACTCATGTCATACATACATATACATAGTCATCGTCGTAGTGTGGTATATCAAGTAGCATGACTTGTCTAAATCTCCTAACTAATTGCAAGAGTATACAATATACGTACGCCCCCAGGGGCCAAGGCAAGGGGCTTATTATGCTCTTGCTACTACTAGTATTATTATATTACTTGGCCCAAGTCTTGGCAGCGTGTGGTACCAAAACAGTTTGTGTGATTTGGAACCAGTGGTTGTAAAATGCCTTCCCGGCCCAGTACGGGCTCCTGACCCGTTTGAAGGTACATGTACATGTACCTCCAAATGGCAGGTGCAAATGCTATCAAAGTCATACATGTTGTGTCCAAAAATGGAGATGATCCCACCATGGAAAGTGCCTTGAGTCTTGTCCTACTTTCATAGTGTCCTCAGCATTCAAATGATTTGGTCTTTTATCTCTTTCATTTCTTCATTTTCATGTCAGACTTGGATGTTCAGCCTGAAGTTGATAGAGGGGCATGGAGAGAAATTACAAAGCTTCACTTTGAAAAATTGAATCTGTATTTACGGACGGTCCCTAACCGATCATGTGCTTCAACACCTACTTGAGCTTTGAAAGATTTATCCGCAGGCAAACGTAGAAGTTAGTTTTATGCAGTGCGGTATCCTATCCTGCATAATGACACAACTGCCTACAACACACGGAACACATAGCAACTATGAAGAAAAGCTCAAGTGATAGTCGCTGGAAATCACACGGCTAAACATGTCACTGACACTCATCCTGTCATAATCAGCAGGTTACAGAATAAAAGACTGAGATTCAGCTACAAGTCGTGCTGAAATGTCTGATCACATTGCATTCTGCTCAACTACATATACAGGCTCTGAAGTCAAAGTTACTGGAAGAGAAGGAAGTCACGTAGCTGTGATTCTATCCTAAATTGCTTGATGGCTGCCCGTGGCCCATATCCCTGGCATGCTTCGATGATGGCCGTACGGCATAGATGCGACAAAAGCTGTGGCTGAGAAGTAGCCAGACATATCACATCTGATGCCGCAATCTTGCACGTTCCTGCATTGCGCGCCAGGCCACAGTCATGAAGTTGGCCATTCGCAAACGGTAGTTCCTCTACACAGCGCACTCCTGGCAAGCCGCCGTGTCTAACGAGAAGTCGAACAACGTCATCATCCGGGTCACATCTCGTCAGTAGCCGGTCTAAGGCTGGTGGATAGCCAAAGCTGAGTACGCATAGGCCTTTCCTAATAGAATAGGAACGGAAGAACTGTGGATTACTGAAGATAGCATTACTATCTACACATTGGTCCAAGCGCGGCGTACGTGTGTTCGATGCCCAAAAGGAAGGCGAGATCATGCGCTCGAGAGAATGGAACATTCTGGAACCACTGTTACGAGATTTCACTTCCCGGCGCGCTATGTCAATCCAGTGATGGCACACCGCTTCGAACTCTTGATACAACACACCAGATGGGTTGGCGCCGTGCTGAAGCAACAGCCTGGCCTTGTCCGCGGAGCGATCGTGATTCTCTTTCGCCAGACAACCAAGCATGCTCTCGTTCTTCTTTGTGATGCCTATTCTCAGCAGCGACACTGCACAGAAGAACTTCTTACAGGTCAGTTCATCGGCCGTGTAGCAAGGTGTGTCCATCCAGTCTTCCAGCGCTTCATACGGCTCGGCGGAAACATCGATTGTCACTGAATCCGTGTCCCAGCGACGGCACGCTAAAATCTTGCGCCGATTATCGTCGTTGGAAACAGTCAGTGCCCGCAACACCAGTGGTCCGGGTGGAGGACATCGTGGACATGACCACAGGGTCAGGTCCATCTCAAAATTTCTGGCATTGCTGCACAGCAAGTTGGGTAAAGACAGCCTCCATTTGTAATCCGGGTGAAAGAAAAAGGGGAAAATGCCCCAGGTGCATTGCTGCAGCGACGGGTGATAGGGGGATTCCCCCATGCGCAGCAGTGCACGCACAATGCCCGTCTTCTTCAGGAGATATGCTATGCAGAGAGAGGACATCTCCTGAGCAACGTTCGCAAGTTCTAGCTCCAGTGTGGACGATACGTCAGCGCCCCACTTCACCAGGCACTGCAGCATTCCCTCACACCCAGCCAGTATAGCACAGTGTACTATCGTCAGCGCAGTATTTCCTGAACCTGAGCCCGCAGATTCCACTACAACCCTGTTTACCAACACCTCAGCGACTATTGATGTATTTTCACCTAGCGATACATAGCCATTCGCGGGATCATTAAAATCCATTACATCCAGATCCTCTTGTACAGACTCTTCCATCACAAGGACTGGTTTGCAAAATACTGCTGTTTCACGGCCGATTGCTGTATGTTGTGAAGAATACTCTGGTAACCGACCGCCAACTTCTGCCTCCATCCGAATGTTGCAAAGGTTCATCCTTGCCTGGTGTTCATCCATCTCCCTATCACCGCCGCCATGGTCCGCTTCTAGTTCTGTGCTATTCTGGCCAGCTGCAGATTCACACTGCTGGCGTTCATGAGCAGTAGTACTACTACTAGTGCTGGGGTGGTCACGTGCACTGTCAAGTGCAGTGAATAGCATGTCCAATGCTGCCGTATTGCAACTGCAAACAAGTTGTTGTACGAAAGAGCAGATCTCCTCAAAGCCCCTCTTGCTGCAGAGTATTTGCCCTGCCTGTGCCGACCCAGTTCGTAAGCTGAAGTTCAGCGTGACGATATGTTTGCTGGCATAGCTGCTTTGGGCCGCAAGCAGATCACTTTGCAACGCCAGCACGTGCATGCGGCGCTTGTCGTCCATGATCTCGACAAAACTAACGACGTTCTGCCGCTGGAAAACACCCAGACACAGCAGTGTCTGCCAGTCTGCTCGATTCCACTCGTAGGTCTACTTCTTTGCACAGGGAAAGAACTTCGGAAAATGTGCGCCGTATGACCACTGGTGTGACTAGCCAGCCAGACTAGCTACGCAGGGCCTACAAATTTGTAGGATCCCTAGCGACATCAGCTAGATCCCCGCTGTCTAGTACTAGTACTGGCTGACCCTACTGTAGAACAAGTGCAATTACAACTAGGCTAGGCCATAGCCTAGGAGGATCTAGGAGGAGCCGCAAAATACCAGGCGAATACAATCAATTATTGTAGTTCAATTCAAGGATACATGTAAAAATAATTTTTGAGTTTGCTAAGTCTACATGTGACCATGGTGACAAGTCGATCCGATCCGAGTGTGTTTTCACCTGACACAACATTTTTACTAATCAAGATATGTAATATTTTATTATTATTTTATTAATTTATTATAATTTATTATTAATATTATTATATGACTAATGTTACTTGACAAGACAACCTTCTTATGCCGTATGGCAGAACCACAATAGTCCGTGAGCCAAATCTCAGAATCGGCCGTTTTAGCATCGACCGTTGCACCCAGAGATGGACAAATCGTCCTTCAGCACACCGCTTCACGATGGTATCCTGAAGCGATTTCCACTTGTTGGACAGTTCGAAACTGATCCAGGGAGGTCACAGAAGACGCCAAACATCCAACTTTGTTCACTGACAGCAGCGGCCATTTTCGCCTTCTTCGCTTGATTTTTTTGCGCTTGTTCACGGATTCTCATTTTTTGAAGCCACGAGCATGAGCAGATACCACGATCGTGTGCACATAACGCGGAAACCAGTGCACAAAACTAAATTCGAATTTTTTTGCCGCTGAGAATTATGAATCGGGATCATGCATGCAAACTGCATGCAGCAAAGTCACCAGGTCACTACCATGACTACTGTTTGTAGTTATGTTGTCAATTCACAATGTTGTCTATTCACACACCAGAGAGACCAGTTTACGAGAGTTGGTAAAGTATATATTATCTCACGACGAGGACAGAATTATTCGACATCAACATTAGGGAGTGGATTCTTCTTCTGCCTAGATTATCGAAGTTTGGTTATCTTAGAGTGAACTAGAATAGAATGTACGGTACAATGCATGAGCGCGCCCTTTTAGCTGGGCGCGCATTATTATGTGTATAGCCCGACTATGTACACTATAAAGGGATGTAATTAGATCAAGTGTACGGTGGGTTTTATGTGCAGGGGCAGAAGGAGGGAAAACGGGCTACAAATGTGTACGGTATTAATTATAACATGCAGGGGCAGCGGGGAAATGGGTCAAATATGGTTATAAGTGTGTACGTACGAACTACTGCATGCAAGGCTAGGGATAGGGGTAGGGGATAATGGGTCAAATATGGTTATGAAGTGTGTACAAACTAATGCATGCAGGGCCAGGGGTAGGGGGTAATGGAATGTGTACGAACTACTGCATGCAGGGGTAGGGGGTAATGGAGTGCGTATGAACTACTGCATGCAGGGGTAGGGGGTAATGGAATGTGTACGAATTACTGCATGCAGGGCTAGGGGTAATGGAATCATACCGGGGTCGGGATCCAAATATGGGTGTGCGTATAACATTACCTCCCCCCGTGGGGAACAAAAAA